AAAGTGTAACCTCCATGCACATTATCCAGAGGATTAAAAGAAGTTTCCATCATTAGTAGAAAATAAGGGAGTTGTATCTTATTCACATAAGCTGACAGTGTGTGCAGTTTTTGACCCCAGTTACCACAGCAATGATAACAAGAATGGTTCAGTTTATAAGGAGTGACCCAGCTCATGGCTAACTCAGCTCAGGGAGCAGAGAGGCTTCACCATGTTGGAGCAGTCTGGTTACTGGGGGTGGGGAACGTGCTCACTTCTTGCAGGGAGCGAGGATCTCTGAGACCATGAAACTGAGCTGCGGAAACAGAAGCCTGCAACTTCCTCAAGCTCTTCTGGTTATAGGTTACAGGAATCAGTGGGAACCAGCTTGAGCAAAACCTAAATCTCGATGGGAGGATATTGCAGAAGCTCCCAGATTCCGAGGGCAGAGAAGCTCCAGGGCCTCAGGGAGGTATGGAACCACCACAAGGAATCCAGAATGGATATCTTTCCCTGTGTTCAGCCTCAAAGGCCACCAAGAGCACCTGAGTTTACAGGTTGTGGAGCCAAGTTTCTCTCCATCTCAGTTGAAATTCTCCATGAAGGGGCTCATCTGTCTCCTCTAGCCCCATCAACTCTGGCTGGGAGAGAGGGAGGGCAAGCGTACAAAACCACTCCCAAAGCAATGTTGTGGACAGGAGGGAAGAGGCCAGGCATGAGTAAGGGGTCTAGGCCCTTCCCTCCTTCCTGGTAGTCTCTCCACCACAGGTAGAATGGCTGGGAGGTGGGGAGGGGCAGTGGTCAGAAGAGAGCCTGGTACCCCAGGGACTTGGAAGAGCAGAGTCAGCACTCTCCCGGCTGTAAGTCAGGAAACAGAGCTGTAGAAAGTGGCTAAGGACCACGGGCGCATTTTGTCTCACTTTTCCCATTATGTTACCTTGAAGAAACTAAGTGAAACTGTCAGTGAGGAAAAAGAAAATTAATGGCAGGGAAATCATTCCAGGACAGAAAATTGGTTAAACATGATGCTGAGATTTCACAACGGGTTGCTATGCTGATTTTCTCATGGCTCCTGAATGAGTCTTAGGGAAAAGTCATGGTATAATTGTAATACGATTTTGATTGCTTGATTCTCAGGAAGTTTCTCATGATGCTAAATTATTCATCTTTATAAGAAGCTTGCGTAAGTAAAAGTATAAGTACTGGGGTGTTTAGGAATTAGGGGAAGGGAGGTGGAGAAGATAGGTGTAGCGAGAACACAAGAGGTGGCTAGAAAGAGTGGCTTTGCTGCTTTCCAGGATCGTGGTGTCCCTGAGAGCTCGCACTAGGCGTTACATACAGCTTGCCTTTCAGCAATGGCCTGTAGCCTAAGACGACCTGGAGTGCCCCTGTAGTCAACAAAGGGAGGCTTACTAATGCTGTAGCAAGGGAGAACTTGGGAAGCTCAGGAGTCTCACAAAAGAGAGGACTAGGGAAGGTGTTCTTAATAAGGTTTAGGGGCTGGAGTTAGTCACAGGAAGATCTTGGCAGGATTTGATCAGATTTTGTAAACTAGGGAGTTCCTGGAGAGTCCAGCGGTCTTACCTTTGGGATGTAGGAATCTGAGTCTGTGCGGAGCTACTATTAGGTCAATTCCTCCGTGGTCTTGTTTCCAAACACGTGGGTCTTAAGGAGCTGGTGTTTCAAGACTGAACCGACTAGATGGTCTGGCACCTCTAAGTTATCATGAGCTCATATTTATGTGAAGAATTGACTCTCCTCACTTCTGTCTTACCCTCCTTTATGTGGGGGCCACTGCTTGTGCAACAATGATCTAAGGAGTTTGGGGTGAAGAGCTTATTATCCATTCTTATTTGCCACCTCCTCTACCTAGGACTCAGACATAAGTCCATGGAGGACTAGGCTGGAAATGGTTCTGATAGACAGATCCCATGCTAGTCTCATCAATATGCCAAGCCGGCCCTCTGTCGGCTCCCTTTTTACTAGTTAACGACATAGGAGGTGGCATGGTTCAACTCTTGGGTCTGCCTCCTGCTAGTTCTGAAATCTGGGAACAGTAACTTCACCTCTCTACATCCCAGTTTCCCTACTTATACAATGGGAACAATATTAGATCTTACTTAGAAGGGTTTTGTGAAGATCAGTCAGCATTTAAAAACTTCACACATGGCATGGCACATAGTAAATATTCAAGAAATAGTTAAGTTTCTTCTGTGTTGGCAGCAGTTACATTTTTCATAAAATTAGAAAGTGAAAGTAGGCAGCATCTTGCCAGACCAACCCTGCTCTGGCCTGCTTCCTGTCACCCAGAGAGCCTTAAACCTGGGAGAATTTGTTCCCAAATTGTACATTTCGGGGCCCCAGATTGTCATCTGGGCCAGTAATACCTTCCAGGATGACCACATGGTACCCTGAGGTTGCTTCTCAGGTCAGAGCCAGTAAGTGTGCAGCAGGTTGTGTTTGGATCCAGAGATTGAGGGGAGGAGGGGAGGAGGGGAGGGGGGAGGGAAAGAGGAAGGAAGGCAGGAAGGAAGGAAGAGACAAACGAAGGAAGATGTTCTTTAGGATTTATTTTTTGGCCAGATTTCCTAGCTTTTTATATAATCATTCTCTTTCAGCAATTTTTAAACAGACTATCATGTTGTTTCTTATTTAAATAGTTTCCTGCCAATTTATCACAGAAAGTAGTAGCCAACAGTGAGCAGCCACAGCCTGGCATGGAAGGGCCTGTGGCTTCCTGAATTCTGATCCACACAGGCAAGTGACCAGGTATCACCAGGTTACTCATGTGTGGCAAATTGCTGAGACATAAAAAATGAACTTGATGGCTGCCTCATCAGTGTCCTGATGAAAAGCATTTCTGAAAACCCACTCTGCGTGGGGCTCTGATCACAGTGAAAGAAGCTGTGAGGCCACTCACTGTATGTAATTGTCCTTGACTCACTTAGAGGTTCAAGTCCGAGCCACTGTCACCTCAGCCAATCCAAGAAGAAATGGACATGGTACTAACGCTGCAAGAGCATGAGCCCACGTGAGGAAAGTGTTTTAAGCTCCCTCTGGGGTTGATATTCTTGAGGATGATCACACTGAGAGTTTGGCTGGAGACTGAAAGAAGTAAGTTAGCTTGTGACCATTCTCTGAACATCCATGCCTTGTATGAGTATTTACATTGCATATGAAGAAAAGTGAACTCTCGTTTTTTATTGCCCAAATACAGATAAATTGATGCATTCTGTTGTTGGACTTCATATTGACCGCATGGCTAGAAAATGCATGTCCTTTGAGATAAACGTATTGTCTCCTAGAGGGACTGGGTAGTTTCTGCAACTCCAAGAAGTTCTGCTTCCCAATATAGTACCTGTCTAGGTGCGTATGTGTGAATATGCTCCACCCCCAGGCCTAGATAAAAAACTTGACCCACTGCTATTCTGGGAAGAGAAGTTCATTAGTAGTACCGATCGTTCCCACTTTAGGCATCTACCACAAGCTTCACCCAGAGGATTAACATCACAACACCAACGCCTGAGCTGAAATCCAAACCAACTCTGAACTCAGAACGACTGCACTGACCGGTGGGTAAACAGAGGGATTTGCAAGTGTACCTACAGACTCACTCACAGTCATTTCACTCACCGTCAAGAAGGACCAGTGCACGGAGAAGCCACAGAGAAGCCAAGCATGGATGGAGGGTGTAAATGCCAGCACGCTGACCCTAAGAACAGTTTGTGGTTGTTTCCTTCTTTTTTTTTAAGCTTCACGTGTAATATACATAGTGAAGTCTATAAACATGGACCTGAATTTTTATAAAGTGAACTTTGCCTTGTCAAGGAAACAGGTTCGTTGGCTTTTCTCTGGCGGCTTCAAGTGGGTTATGCCGTTATTTTATCCAGCTTCTAGAGTTGCTTTCAGTGGGAGGTTTGTCAGAGACTGACTTCTCCATCATAGTCAGAAGTGGAAGCACTCCTATGTTTGTTTTTTAATTGATTCACTATTAGAGATCCATTAAAAATTCAAGATGAAAATGTGAAATCTTTTGTGTCAGTTTTACAAGTGTTGTCATTTTCCTGCCTTCCCGTGGTTGAGGAGTGACTGCATACAGCGAAGTGTGCAGATCCGAACTGTGCAGTTCAGTTAGTTTTGACACCTGTATATTTGTGTAGCTGTGTTATTTTATTTTCAGGTGTGTTTTCTTTATGTCATCTAACTTAACACTAAAATAGCTTTGGCATGATAGTCAAGATTCATAAATCAAGCAAATTTTCATAATTTGGAATTTCACGAGGTTAGTTAAGCAACTGTGTGAGTTACCATTTTAATGCCTTGCTCCCTACACCGAGTACACAGCATGCCTGGCTCACAGAAGATGAATAAAATGACTTCTACACTGAAGTAAACTGTTGACTTTATTTTAAAAAGTAAGTTTGCCTTCAGTAATAAATAACTAAGTTTCGCAATTTTGTTTGAGTTATTTTGAAACCACTTTTTATTATATAGGTAAATCACTTTTACTGTTTAATGACGGAAAAATGTAGAAAAGCTTCCCCCCAAATTCCTCACCAGTAAGTCTGTTCTAGATATAATCAATATTTGCAGTTTGGTGTATACTCTTCTTGGCATTTTATGCATATAGATTTTTTAAATAAAAAATACTGTCATACATGTTTATAAGTTGTTTTCCCAATAAACATTTATTTAAATAAATGTATATAACATATTGCATGAAATTTACTTTAAAAATACCCTGTTGTTGAAACTTTGGATTATTTCCATATATTTGCCATTAAAACCTATGCTACGTTATACTCAAAAGTGAAAACATTTTCTAATCCACTAATTATTTCCTTAGGATAAATTTGTACCAGTGCAATTGCTTAGTCAATGTCATGTACATTTTTTTAAAGACTTTTTTTCAAATAGCAAGGTCTCCCATGAGAAATTCTTTGCCCGTTTGGCTTCATCAGCTGCATGGGATAGGTCTTAATTCTCCACTAACCGCACCAACAAAGACAGAAAATATGTCATTGTTTTAATTTGTATCTCTTTTATTACACATGAGGTTGAGCCTCTTTCCCTTGTGTTATTCTCTGTACATATATTATTTCTTTCTTTTAAAAGATGTGTATTTATACTTTATCTTTTTAGATGGCTCATGTTTTTCTTACTGATCTCTAATAGCTGTCTGTATATTACACATATGACAACCATTGAACTTTCCTGTATGTTACAGACACTGTTCCCCGGTTGTCATTTGGCTTTTGGTTGTGTTTCCTGTTGCAGTTCCGGTGAAGCCTCACAGCTCAGCGCTGCAGAGCCCCAGGCACGGGGTGCAAAGCAGGGAGCAGGGTCAGAGGGAGCTGAGGCTGGAGAGTCAGGCACAGGCCAGCTCGCCGAAGGGCTGGCTGCTCACACGAAGGACCTAGGAGGGTCTACCAGGAGGGAGGTCCTTAGGAGGAGGGGGATTTAAAAATACCGAGGGAGTGAAGTCTTCAGTTTTCGCTGACTAGCTGAGGAACGTGAGATCAACAGAGGTGACGTGGATGAGGCCCAGACTTCGGGCCTAGGCAGTGTGGTGGAGAGCGGTGCCGGGAACTCGGTGAGGGCCACCAGGTGGAAGCAGGCTTGGAAGGCAGAGGATGAGCATCATATAGAGTTACCGTCTTTGCAGGGTCTGCAACACTCAGGTATCATGGGCCTTCAGAGCCCACGGCTGAGTTCAGTCCCCGGCACACGGTGGATTGCCTGGTGGGTCGGTTTAATTGAAATGAATTCATGGTCAGCCTCCATCAGGTAGGGTGTTCTCTTTGGTGCCTTTTGACCTTGGTGCCTAGTGCCAGCACTTCATACCTAATTTTAACAATCTCAGTTCTGCTTCTTCGGAACTCACAGATCCCAAAGGGCACAGAGGTCACAAGCGACATTCCTGTTACATCTGGCCAAGGGTCAGGACTTTCCTAGGGGCCTTGTTTCTTTGTTTTCTCTCATCTGGGGTTTATATGGCCTTCCTATGTTTAAGTGTTTCTACGTGTTCTGCCTGGATTTCCTGGTGGAATCCAAGAAGTGGCTTTTGCCCTTTTTTGATCTTCAGCAACTTCTTTGGCTCAGGTGAAGCAACTCACTGTGAACCCTCTTTCAGCCTCAGAGGAATTAGATGGTCTCCAGAGAAGGCAATGCTCTGACCAGCAGTGCCACGAAATGCCGCTTCCACCCAGCGAGTTCAGGGAACTGCAGGTCACCCTGAGGGTGCTGGTGGGCCAGGGGAGCGGTGTTCCAGCTCTAGGGGAGAACAGAGGCAAAGAGGTTGTTGGGTGAGTGCGTGAGTGGGTGGTGCGGGCTTGTTAGAGGGAGCGATCTACACAGAAAAGCTTGTGAGAAATTCAGAACCAAAACTACTTAATTCTGTAGTTTCCAATACTCACAGCTATTACAAAGCTCACATTTGGGCTAATTCTACAAGTCATTAATCCTCCACTCCAAGCTGTGCTGGATTTGTGATCACATTAGAGCTCCACGAGTGATTAAATCTCCCCCCTTGTGTGTAAAACAGCCTGACCATAAATCTCAGGAGGGTCGGTCCAGGTAGAAGAGGCAGCCGCACCAGCTCCCTACCTGAGACCCCTAGAAGGCATGTATGCATCTGATCTGCATTCATCCACTTCACAAACAGCTCTAAGGACTATGTGGAAGGGAGGCAAGTGATAGCTCAGTGGTAGAGCTTAACATGCATAAGGTCCTGGGTTCAATCCCCAGTACCTCCGTTTAAAAAAAAAAAGGATTATGCAAACTGTGGACTAGCAAGCTTCGTTTTACGTGCTAGAGAGGGGTTGGAGGTGAGAGGAAGCAATAGGGTCTCTCCCATAAGTAAACTTTGCGTCCCTTTGATATTTTGTACTATGTCCTCTTTTTCATTCACACTTAAAACATTATCAGGCACCTACTTTGTGCCATGCCATACCAGTCATGGACAGCTCAGAGACGACTAAAACACAGCCCTTGTTCTGGAGAAGCCAATGGCAGGAGGAGGATGGAGGCACATCAGAACTTAGAATTGAGCACCATTGTGGCTACAGATGCATGAACCAAGTCCTACGGGACCATGAAAAAGGATGCAAGTAACTCCGTGTGTTGGGGCTTCACAGAGGTTTATGCAACCTGGGTTTGTGCCTTTAAGGATTTCAGCAAGAGGACCGGGGTGGTGGGGAGAAACTAAAGCAGAGGGAACGTGTATGCAAAGGCTTGGAGGATTCCTAAAGACAATGGCTGGAGCACAGGGTGCCCAGCAAGAGGGGGCAGAGCTGAGAGTGGACATGTAAGAAGGCTACAGTTGGGGAAGAATTTAGAGCCGTGTATGCGTTTTCTGCAGAAGAAAGAAGTACTGCCTGTTGAGTTATCTTAGGTTGTGTGTAGAGGGAAGGCTTTGGAAGACCAGGCAGAAGTGGACGTGGCTTAGAGGGTTACTTCCTATCCTTTAAACAGACAACAACAGGAGAAACTGAAGAGCTTGTGCTATTAGCTTTTAAAATTTTTGAATTATTTTTAAAAATTGAAGTATAGTCGATTTACAGTGTTGTGTTGATTTCCGGTGTACAGCATAGTGATTCATTTGTACATATATATACATATATATTCCTTTCATATTCTTTACAGGTCATTGTAAGGTATCGAATTTAGTTCTCTGTGCTATACAGTAGGACCTTGTCGTTTTTATTAGCTTTTAATTCCTTTTCATTATCAACATCAAATATCTGTGCAGCCTCTGTAGGGGTAGGAGACACAGAGGTTAGTGAAGAGATGTGACCTTAAGTCCTTCTGTTTGCAGTTTAAAATGGAAACACATGAGAAGATCTAACAGTGGGACAGACATACAACATTTTTGTTAATCAAATGTTAGCTCCGAGGCCTTCCTATGTTCTTTTATTCTGCTTGCACCTTCACACAGTAGTTTTCAAACATTTTTTTACCATGACCCAAAGTAAGGAATATATTTTATGCTGTGACCCAGAACCCATAAGAAAATTTCACCAAGTACTATTGAGATGCACTCTCGTATTTTATATCCTGTTTTATTTTATTATTTTTTTTAATGCTGGTCACTGACCCTCTAAATCGATTGCATGACCCACTGCTGGGTTATAACTTGCAGCCTGAAAATTCCTGTCTTCTCATGTCTTTGAGGGGGTGATGTGTGTATAAGGGGAGGCAATGGAATCACGGGTGGGCAAGAGAAAGAATGAGACTGTCCATGGAGAGAAAAGGGGTGGCGTTAGCAATCACCAGTAACTTCCTGTGCCCAAAGAGGGGAGTGAATGACCAATGGGATTTCGCTAAGAAGGGGGATTTATTTGCTCCCAATTAGGAGACAATTTTTTGGTATCTGATAAAGGTATAGAATATCATGGGTGAACCTATGCTGTGTGGAACACTTGAGGTAATAATAGATATTCCTTAAAAAAAAACTGTTGAGTGGTAAAGTAAGTCTGAGAAATGCTAAAATTTGTGCCCTCAATTTGGAAGGCCAGGAAGCATATTTAAAAAGCTGAAAACATTTCCAGTAACAAGATGATTTTATCCTTTAAAAAAACAGCAGGATTTAACTTGTTAGAATAAAGAACCATTTCTGTTCTGTCCTATTACCGTCTTGCAGAGCAATGTGGGAAACGCAGGTGTAGACGGGTATTGCTGCAGAAGACAAAGGTGAGGGTGCAGAGGCAAACGGGAGAGAGTTAGTGTCCATGGGGGCCCCCTGCTTGTGAAGAGTCTAAGCCAGGCGGATGTTTTCTGCAAAGAGCCAGATGGTCAGGACTGTAGGCTGTGTGGGATCTTGTTCTCGGCTGCAACTGCTCAGCCCTCCCACCGGCCTGTGAGAGCAGTCACAGACAATACATACGGGGGTGAGGAGGCTGTGTCTCTGTTCAGCTTTATTTGTGGACACTGGAAATTTGAATTTCATATGATTTTCCTGTGTCAAGAAATCTTTTTTTTGTTTGTTTTTCCCCAACCATTAAAAAATGTAAACACCATTTTTAGCCTGTGGACTACACAAAACAGGCAGTGGGCTGGATTTGGTCGGTGGGTCATAGTTTGCCAGCCACTGGTCTAAATCTTCAGGTTTTGCCCCTTGGCAACTCAAGGGAGAGTCCAAGAGTCCATGCAAGGACCCAGGACGGCCAGGAGGCCAGGACTTGAGGGAGTCCATGCTACAGAAAAGTTCCCAACTGAAGGCTGGGCAAAGGATGTTAAAGAATAGGGATCAATTATTCAATGAACATTGTTTGTTGTATGTTTATCCCCAGCCCCAATTCTGCAGATGTAACCTGGATGCCAATGCCCTGTCTCCTGGATTTTTTTGTCCCATG